GGATTGCTTTAGAAAAAAATACATAAATATAAAAGACAAAGTGGATTGAGATCTTATATTTAAAATCAAAATAAAAATCAAATAAGATCTTATATTAAGAACAGGAGGTAGTATTATTTATTTATTTTCCGGTTGTAACGTGTAAGACATTAAAACCAAACTTTAATGGCTCAAATTCTTTTTTTTTTCTATAGTTATTCAGATTAAAAAAAATCAGAGAGTCACAATGTCCCGGAAGAGATTTGTCTCTGACGTCCGTGAGATGTACCTCATATACCTTGCAAAAAATTAAAAAAATAAATAGGAGTTCGGCGAAGAAAATATAGAGGCTGATAATTTCACTACGTGATTTCATATTTCTCATTTTAAATTTATTATTTTTTTTGTAATATTATCCCAACTCATTAAAAAACGGAAGTTAGTGTTCCCCTTGTGAATTTTTTATCTTCATTAATAAAATCTCTCCTTGCACTAAAAAAGCCAAAAAAAAAAAAAAAAACACTAACGTTACTTGTCCGCGACAATAATATTTCTCTGTTTTAATATTCTCGGGTAAAAAACTTAGTTACGGAACAATGTTTGAAATACCGGTAAGAGGCTTCCCGCGCCTAGTTTCAATATTTGGTGTTCGGATCGGTGGCCCGAGCGCCATTGCTTTCAGCCTTTGCAGAATTTCAGAACACGAAAGGCCTTAATCAGTTCATATTTATCCGTATTACTATCGGATCCCTCGGAAAACCTGTAAATCCTTACGTTCCGACCCGGATACAAGGTTTTCCGATGGGTCTCTCCGGCTCTGAGCCCGATTCTGATACCTCTCGTCTCCTCAACAGTCGCGAAACCCCGGCTAACGAGATCCCTGAAGACAAGTGGCATTTAGCCTACATCATCTACTTCACCCTCGGCTTCGGCTACCTTCTTCCATGGAACGCCTCATCACCGCCGTCGATTACTTCTCCTTCCTCTACCCTGAAGCCAGCGTTGACCGCATCTTCGCCGTCTTTAAGATGCTTGTCCTTCTTGTGTCCCTCTTCATCATCATCCTCTATACTCACAAATCCCGTGTCTATGTGCGAATCAACGTTGGTCTAGGCCTGCTTACGCTGGCCTTGCTCCTGGTTCCCATCATCGATGCATTGTACATTAAGGGTCGGGTCGGGTTGTATGATGGGTTCTATGCGACGGTCGGCGCAGTTGGGCTTTCGGCTTTAGGTGGCGCTCTGGCTCAAGGTGGAATCGTTGGGTCTGCTGGGGAGTTGCCGGATAGGTACATGCAAGCTACTATTGCTGGTACTGCTGCTTCTGGTAAATTTGCTTCTCTATTTCCTCTTCTGCTATATACTTATCATGTTTGGTTCAATTCCTAGTTCCCTTCAGGAATTCTGCTGCCAGTTGGATACGACATCCCCATGGATTTCGAGATGCCCATTTAATGGTTATGGTACAAATTTGCCCTTAAAATATTTTTCTTAATAGTAATGACTAATGAGCACTGTACACTTAGGATACTGATTGCCACTTCAAGCCAAAAAAAAAAAATACTGATTGCTACTGAAAAATATTTGGAAAAAAAATTACAAACAAGAATCTAGAATAGATAATATTATTAGGAAGGATCATCAAAATTGCAATTATTTAAATAGACCAAATATTAACATATAAATTTAAAAATACTAAATTGCCCCTAACTATACCTCCCACGTTCCCTCCCGCGTTCCCTCCTACATTCTGTTTGTAAAACAACTAAAAATTTCTAAACTTGACTAAATTAAATAGAATTTCTCTCAAATTTTACAACTTGCGTAAATATTTATTATACAAAAATACACAAACATTATTCATTTATAAAATTAGAATTTTTTTGAGTACATTAGAATTTTACTTTTAGAATCAACACAAACTTAGATTGAAAATAAATGTTGTATAATTTTGGAAGAAGTTTATGTAAATTTTAAAAACAAAAATACATATTGTTAATAAAATTTTAAAAAATCCAAATAATCTATATATTTTCACATTGGTAAATAGGATTACCTCCGTTAGAATTTTAAAAGCACTTGCGTGTAAGCCAAAAAAATATTGTAAATAAAAATATCAGTATAGTCTGGGTGGGAAAAAGCTTAAATTAACAAAGAAGACGTATGGTCATAGCCATAGGAATGATGGGTGGTTTGGTTTTAGTTCTTGTTTTTTTTTCCCTCAATCGAAAAAAATAAGTTCTTGTTTTTTTTTTAAAATTATAAAGGCAGGAGTTAACTTAGGAGGTTTTGGCAGGGATAATTTAGTATTTTTAGATTTATATTTTAATATTTGGTCATTCTAAATAATTATGATTTTTACCATCTCTTCCAATATACACTTTTATTCTAGGTCATTCCCCTTAATTTTGCTAAAATACTTTAAGATACTGAGTGTTACTAAAAAGATATTTTAGAATGTTAAATTAAGGGTGTGTTTGGATGACTTCAAACCGTGGTTTGGAAAAGTGATTCTGGAGAATAGATTCTGTGGAGAATAGATTATGTGGAGAATAGATTCTGAGAAAAAGTGATTCTGAGAAGTGAGAGTGTTTGGATAGTTATTACCAGAAGTGCTTTTTACATGTGAAAATTACCAAAAAGGGTATAAGTTAATATGATAATTATATAAGGGATAGATTTTATGATTTATTTTGATTTGAAGAAATAAAATTGTTAATGAAATAATTTTTACTAACATAATTAATAATATATAAGATAATATAATTAATACATAATTAATATGTGTACATATATTTATAAAACATAATATTAAATATGTTTATTTTCATATACTCTTCCAGTTTTGGCAGTAAAGTTATCAGCAAGAATATCCCAAGCTTTCTTTGTTAAGCTAGTACCTTTTCTTTCCCCTTGTTGCACAAGTTCAATGCAGAGGTCAATAAACACTTTCGTGGTTCGTAGTCCCAGGAAGCTTTCACCGTATTCTTACCCATTATGCTATATCACAATTACAGCTCTTCAGTCATCACAGGTTAATCAACTCAAAATTAATTGAAATAACAAGTGTCATTGTTACCCAAATCGACTATGAATACCATATTAACATTTTTCTTTCTTTCATTATTATTTAAAACAAAAAGAAATTCAATCTGTATTTATAACAAGTAATTAATTTTTTTAATTCAACATAAAATGGAATTATGTTCCCATTCCTTTCATGACTAGAAAAAAATTAAATAAATTAATTTTAATTACTACAAATACAACATCCTATACTTTTATTCAAAACAGGATTACTCAAAATAAAACATAAGGATTACAAATATATGTCTCTGGAAAAACTAATCACTTGAATAGACCAAAAACCAATCCTCTGATTGAAATTAGATAAACCAAGCTACACAAATGAATCCTCGAATGAAAATCAACCCACCACTGAAGCAGAACGTCAGCAATAACTATCAACCAAGCAAAACCAGCACCCACCAAACACCCCAAGCCAGTACTGAAAAAAAAAAAATATTACCCCGGTCAGACCACAAGCCATGACAAGTTCAATGCAGAGTATATAAAACAAAATTTTAGACAGCCCGGTCATCATCAACGTTGAGTGGTCGTAAAAATTATAAGGCGGCAAACTACAAATATTAAACACAGATTTCCATTTGCTCTATTTTTACGTATGAGAGTCCGGTGTGGAGCTAGATAAACTGATCTCAGAACCAAAAACAAATTCACAGATTATCAACCAACCGAAGATACCCTATATCATGCTCAAACCAACCGGACATATTTATACACCTTTAATTTATCAGATTTTAAATACCATGATAAAAAATCATAACTCAATAGCTTTGGCTGCTTTAGATTAAATACCATGATAACCGTATTTATTGCAGCAGCACATCACAGGGCATAAATCGGCCAAACAACTTGAATTTCACATAACTTTTCAGAATCAATAGACTGATAGAGCCGATAAGCATATTACTTTTTCTGAACTTGTGAATCCGTGAAGGAAAAACACAGAAATCCGGGATCGGAAACAATGGCATCGAATCAGCAAGGCGGTGGGGCAAATAAACCCGCAAAGAGGAAGCCGGTGTTCGTCAAAGTGGATCAACTTAAGCCGGGAACTAACGGTCACACCTTGGTCGTTAAAACGAACTCAGAGACTCACCTGAATGGAGGACTGAATACGGCGACGAGAGTGAACGACGGACCAGGCAGCAGGGCCGGTGGCGGCGGCGGCGACGGCTGCAGGAGGAGCACTTGCGACTGGGCTAGTGGCGACCAAGCACGAACGAGAAGAGCGGCTCCTGAGCGCCGGAGAAAGAGCCAGGGAACACTGACCGCGGCGGAATGCTTCAGAGCGAACCTGAGCGCCGGAACTCACAACTGATAGCTACGATCTTCTTCCGCCGAGCTGCGATTTCTCTCACCGGCACCTTCAAACCATGGCTGGACGGCGACTCTTCAACACGGGCGGCGACTCGTTCTGTCAAGGAGGAAAGACCGAAGGGGGAAAGGAAGACCGTGCTTGACGATGAATGGAACTGGGGAAGAAAGCGAGAGGACGACCGAACTGGAGCTCTGGAATGGACCGACTGGAAATCTGGAATGGGAGCTTGAAGTTTCGACCGAATGAATAATTGAAGCCAGAGGATAATTGGGGGCTGTTCGGTCATGTGAGGAGGGCCCCACCATCACCCTTCAATAATTGGAGCCAGAAGCAGACCGAAATAGCTTCTGGTGAAACCATGGTTTGGGGGTTCAAAACCATGGTTTCCCCCAAACCGTGGTTTTAAATATCTGGAAGAGTGTTTGGGTAGCATTTTCCCCAAACCATGGTTTGGGTCCCCAAACCATGGTTTGGGGTGCTACCCAAACAGACCCTAAATCACAAATTATTTTTGAATGCCGAATGCCACAGGAAAAATGTATCGAGGTGTTGGATGTATCTTAATCCTACTTAAAAACCTATCCACTTATAGTGTGTGTGTGTTTTACTCATGATCATTAGGTTCTCACCATTTTATCTAGGGACATTGGTCTCCGGAAATTGAAGTCAATGACCTTCTGTCCTGAAAGAAGTTGCAGCAATACGATTCCAAAACTGTAGACATCTCCGGAGGCTTTTACATGGCGGTTTTTCCGGTATTCAGGATCAATGTAACCTAATGTTCCTCTCACCTCAGAGCTCACAAACGATTGGTCGAGGTCCATTACCTTGGACAATCCAAAGTCTGAAAGCTTTGCTTGCATGTTGGTGTCAATTAGAATGTTTGATGGCTGACAATACGACATGTCACAGGAGATCAAAGACAGAGAATAAATAGACTAATGGAGAGCCAGAGACAAAGCATAGTACAGTGTTGTCACCTTAATGTCACGATGAATGATGCAGCCACCTGGATAAGTGTGGAGAAACATTAGACCTCTTGCACAATCAACTGCAATCTTAAGTCTCTGAATCCATGAAAGAACTTTATCCTTGTCTGTCATAGAGTGATAATGTGTTAGAGAATTTACATGGGAAGAGGGTTGGAAGAATCTGGCAAAAAAAATACTACCTTGAGTCCTTAATATAAGAGCGAGCTTGAAATTTAATTTGGTTCTAAATATAATATTCCAATTTACTTTGTCTCTCGTATTTATCCTTTTTTTTTTTCAAAGTAGTCATTGTAGTGGTTGCATATGTTAAAAGTTCAATCAAATGATAGTTCTAATTAATGCACATAATTAGCAAAGGTATTTTAGAGAAGATAACATATATTTATTACAAATAACTAACTTAACAAACTTTCTTAATCTACTCAAGTTAGTCAACTAGCTCTTATATTAAAGGCCAGAGGTAGTAAATAAGGAAAGAGGGTTAGAAGAAGAATCTCCATGGATGACTAAGAAAACAAGTGATACCAAACAGCCAATCTGAGAGGTTTCCTTCGTGGCATAGCTCATACACTAGGAAGCATTCACCCTCGCTGTCACAGTATCCGGCCAAAGATACCAAGTTCTGATGTCTGACATGAGAAAGGCTTCTCACTTCTCTAACAAATGTCTCCAGGTACGCTTCACCCATAATATGCTTGATGGCTACATGCTGACCGTTGGAAAGTAGACCTTTGTACACTTTTCCTGTAATAACTCCAAACAAGTTCAATTCATTTGGAAGGTTTTATATAATTGCTTTATTTCATTTGGATTTCCTTGATCATTTCACAATTATTGAGATAATCAATAATATCAGCATAGTTTCTCATTTTCTACAAACCTGCCATTATTGCAAGCAGAAAATGGTGTAGATAGGATCTTGGCTGTAGCAGATGCTAACAAGGTTTAATGTAACCCTAAGTCCTATTGCTTGTAATATGAGTTTATATATGCTACCTTGTAGCCTTTGTCTCAGTCATCTCTTTTTGGTTTTTTGTTGTTTTGAGGCATTAAATTGTTATGAACAGATATCAGAAAACACATTTTTCAAGAAGCTGAGGGATATTCTTACCAGCAATGCCTTGACCAATATAATTTGAAGCATTAAGATTGTTGGTCGCCATATAAACTTCCTTGATGGTTATCTTAAGAGAGCTCGAATCCTCTGCCTCTAAATAATTAAATGCATTCAAGTAAGACAAAAACACACACACAGATTTTCTGGACCAGAAAGGAAATTGTGTAGGATCTTTTTCTGAGTCACCTTCTTGTTTCGTTGGAGAACTAATAGTTCTTCTTCTTCTATTCAAGATACATACTGCAAGAAACCCTAGGACTACGATTCCAATTATGCCAAAAGGTAATATCCAGAGACCTGTTCCATTTATGATTCAAACAGTTAAAATTGGACAAGAAAAACCTTAATCGATTCCTATCCTCAGAACAAGAATATAATGTAGGACTAAGATTTACAGAGAATCGGAAAAGAACTACCTGGGATGAGCTTAGAACTGCCATCGGTTTTGCCTATTTGCTTACCTGTAACAGTCAGTGAATTACTTCAAGTTCAACAAGATCAAATAAAAATCATGAATTCAAATAAGTGTGATTGAATTGACTGAAAAAAGGGAAATTTACTTTTTTCTAGCCCTCACCTGCTGAAAGGCTGTAGGTTCCAAGGCATTCATAAACTGCTTGAATCGAGTCCCTATCATAAAGTCTGATGCTTGTAAGTGAGATTAGTACTGCAAATCTACAAATATTAGCATCAAAATCTGCTGAGCCTGACTCCTTTTTACCAATTGATATTGCACTAATCTCCTCCCACCTTCTTAAGCATGCCGTACAAGTCTCTTTTTCTCTACCAGCCTTGCTCAAAGCCATACAATCTTCATCTAATCTTCTCAACTTCTCTCCAAGTTTGTCCATAACATCTATGACAGACAAGTCAGAGCAACCACCAGCTCCAGTCCTTAGCTTCTCCACCCCACATCCTTTAATATTCATTGAGGCAAGGCAAGTTTCTTGCTCCGAGGAATTCAAGTATATTTTTCCAGATTGGTTGGCATACATCCCTGATGCATAAAGGTAAGCATTGAAATCTAATCCATCACAACAGCTATTTATAAAACCTCCCCAGCTGTGCAATTCACAATCAGAGCTATTATTGTTATTCAAAGATGTAGAAGACTGAATTCCAAGGATGCAATCAGCAGCAGAGGTTTGAGAACAGGCTCGATCAAGAGTGATGAACAATAGAAGCAATATGAAGCAGTTTTTCCCTTGAAACTTCATTGTATCAGAGCCGGAAAAGCAACAATAATGTGAGACCAGATACAGCTGCAGGCGTTTTAATGTTGAAAGTGGTTGATATAAGCACGTTGATGTGGTCAACATGTCACTATCATACCACTTTTTGATGAGTCCAATATGTAAATATGACCACACTGGATTTGGACTTGAAGAGGCATTTTGGCAAATGGCTGAAGAGCAATTATATGCTACCTCCGATCCTTAATATAAAAATAGTTTGACTTTTAATTTAGTCCTAAATATAATAACGTAATCCACTATCTCTCATATTTATTATTTTTAAAGATAGTCCTTTAATTGTTGCACATATTAAAAGTTTCATCAAATGTTAAAACTAATATATTTGATTAGCAAGGGTATTTTAGGAAAGATAACAACTACTTATTATAATAACTAATTTAACAAACTTCCTTAATCTACTCAAATTAGTTAATTAGTTTTTATATTAAAGACCGAGATAGTATTATTAGCTTTTATATTAAAAACCGAGATAGTACTATACATCTCTTTCTTTCTCTCTCTACCTATCTAGTTGTTTTATCCTTATAGGCAAACTAAAATATTGTTCCCAGTTCAACCCTGCCGCTTTGAATGAGAGTGACTTGTAATAACCAATTCATACAATATTCCCCCTCAAGTAAGGACAAATGCCGGATTGTAGTCTCTGACTCAGAATAAAATAAGCATGAAATGCTCAAGCAAAAACCGTAGCAAGAATTTAACCCTCTAATGCATTGAATTAAATGATCGAAAATTAATCAAAGTGTATGGCTTTGTCAGGAATTAACCAGTAAGAATATGTGGAACGGGAGCAGGCTCAAAAGAACATGCTTGCTCAAAGCACTGTTGAATGCCTTTTAAGTGGGGATTCAAACCTTAATTTATCACGTTACGAGTGACTGGTCGCTTTCATTGGACCGAAACCTCTTTTTTGTATGCATACCAGTTTTGATATTCATTTTATCAACATACGAACTTCGAAGTTTTGGATTAAAAAAAACTTGGCTGTTTCTTTGGGTCTCAGGACTCGCTTATTACCAATTACCAAGAGGAAAAAAAATGAAAGTCAACTTCGATGTGAATGGTTTTTAAAATTTTAGTAAACAAATAGAAAACTCCACACACTAAGTTTTAGTTTAATCGAGCTGGCCAAAAAAAAAAATGTTTTAGTTTAATCGACTAAAACTCGATCTCTGGGACTCAATGCATTTTACTTTCCTATTTAAAATCAATAAACCAATGTAATAAAAAGTAAAAGCAGATAAAAAAAAGATTTAATACCATCTCCGATCCTATTTATAAGAGCTTATTTATAAACTATAAACGAAATCTTATAAATAGGATCGAAGGTAGTAATTATATTACCATAGCATAAATATTAACACAAACTAATGATTGAAATATTAACTCAGAGACAGGCCAATAAAATTGGCTATGAAATGAAATGACTGTTTGATAACTTAATTATTCATAATTAACTTTAGCATGTACAGAGGAATTCAATTTTGGATTCATAGTTGATTTTAATGTGTGCGTGTGGATGTTAATATACTTTTTCAGAAAATCACGATTTGGACCTTCAAAATTGACTGTTTTTCAATGACTCCATTGGTTGCTATAGTTTTAAAACTCCATTTTCAAGCTGGCCTAGAAAAAGTCTTCGATTTGCAAATTATCCTATATATAACTGAATTCCTCAAATACAATTACTAAAAATAAAAAACATGTCATTAGGAGACAAAATTTTCACTTTTCCTAAAACAAAAATAGTGACTTATTTTTAAATTATTTATAAACCACATCATTAAAAATTTTATTATCTCATAGGCTATTTTTTTCTTTTATTTTTTTGGTTATAACAAGACCGTTATTTTTTCTTGAAAATTATATATAAATAGAAATAAAGTTAAAAAATTATTAGATTTTGAGATAAAATTAATAGGGTTAAAGTTTTTCTAGATTATCATAAAACATGCTGAAAGTAACTAATAAATAGATTAAAAAATTATTTTTTATTATAATGAAAATAAACAAAAATTAAAGATAATTATTGCATAATATAGGCTTGTATTCCTCCAATTCTAAATATAAGACTCTTATACTAGTGTGTATAAAGGTCTTATATTTAGGATCGGAAGAGTATATATGATTGTAAGGACCCAAGTCCTTGTCCAATCCTTATCCGTAAACAACTTTAATTATGTGAATCCCAAAATTAGAAATATTAAAGGCTTGTGAAATTTGGCTAATTCATTATTTGAAAAACCTCTAAAATGAGTGTAATCAATATTTTTAATGATAAGACCTTCCACTATGACAAATTAAAGTGATTTGTCTCAATACGTCAATTAGCTCTAACAATGCCAGCTATCAAAATGCCAAATTCCTTCCACCCTTTAATATAAAAACTAGTTGACTAATTTTAGTACATTAATTATTTGTGATAAATACGAATTGTTTTCCTCAAAATATCTTTACTTAGCATATTTATTAGCCAGAACTACTATATGATAGAATCTTTAATATGTGTAACTTTTATAATGACTATTTTAAAAAATAAAAATAAATATGAGACATAAAATGAATCGAGTAGTAAATATAAGATCAAATTAAAAATCTAACTAGCTGTTATATTAAAAATGGAGGCAATGTAAAGCAATTAGGACATGTCTACAAAAACAACTGAAAAGGACACCAGCATTTGATAGATACTTCTTCTGTCTTTTTTCATAAGCAATATTAGAGCTAATCATGTAGATCAAAATGTTAGTTAAAATTAGTTAAAGATAATAAATGTATAGAAATTAGAAGTGTTTTTTTTACTAAAATGCCCTTATTTATGGGGGAAGAGTATAAGAGAGGAATAAGAAAATTATTATAATAAAGAGAATTATGGAAAAGAGAAAATGTGTGATGGAAAGATGATGGTTTGGGAAATGAGATACTCCCTCCGTTCCTTATTATAAGAGATGAATAACCAAATTACGTTGATAAAAAAAGCAGTTAAAATTAGTTAAGAACAATCAATGTGTAAAAAATATAATTTTTTTTCCAAAAATGCCCTCATTAATAAGGAGAGAGAGTATAAGAGAGAACAATTAAATTATTGAAAGAAAGAGAAGTGGGAGGGAGAGAGAGTGTGAGTTGGAGACAATAAATATGGGTAAAATAGGAAATCAACACAAAAAAGTAGAGACAACTTTTAAGTGTCTCTTATATATAGGAACATGCCATAAGCATCAAATGTCTCTTATAATAAGGAACGGAAGGAGTAATAAATATATTGAGTATTAAGGGTAAAATAAGGAATTTGTTATAAAAATTTAAGACAACTTAGAAATATTACTTATATTTAGAAATAAGAAAGAGATGATAATTGTTGTTTATAAAATAGGACGCAAGGAGTAGATATTTGATACTGGATGACCTCACGGTTGACTTTGTATAGATTCTCGACTCTATTAACTTTCATACAAAACATAATTCAGCATATTTTACATGACGTAAGATTCTTAAATGGCTGAAGTTTTTTTTTTTTACCTCACTTAAATGACTAAGGCTTTTTTTTTCTTTTTTACCAGCACTTAAATGACTAAAGTTACTTCTTGCGTGACATAAAGTTGACATAAAATCACGATCCGGTTATAGTTGGAATCTCTCCTTTTATTTGAAGTTACTTTACTAAAATATAAACGTGACATAAAACATAAAAGCATGTCATAATGACAGATTAGACTTTGCTAGTGAAATAGATCACCAGATAAGCTTTTGATCATATTCCTCTAATCCTCAATATAAAATTTAATTAATCAATTTAGGTAGATTAAAAAATGTATTAAATTAGTTAATAAATTATTTTTTAAAAAAATCATAATCATTTTTTATTCTCTTATTTCTTCTCCTACTTGATTATTTGAAAAAAATATTAATATAATTAATTTAAAAAATTATTAAATATATAAAATAGATTTTATATATAAGATTAATATCAATTTCTCAGTAAGATCATATAGAATATTAGAGATTTGAACATCTCTTTCTCAGCACACGTGAACTTGTATCCAAGCCATAGTTGTGTGCACATCCATAATTGCTAAATGACATATTTATTTTACAAAAAAAAAGAATTACAATCAAGTCCTATGTAAGAGAAATAACTACTAAAAGTCCAATAACAACTTAAGCAATTCTAGAGTGGAGAATAACAATCTTTAAGACTTGTTTTGTAATTTTTTTCTTTACAGAAAACCTCATTATAATTCTCAAAAAAAAAAAAAAATCTTAATAGGCCGTCCATTATTCGGCAGATTTTAGTAGGCCAGTGTGTGTTATGTCACTTTTCTTGGATAAGATAAGACTGACAATCTCTTCAAGTAGCATAGTAGATTTGCTGCATTTTATTAGTTCCGGCAGTTGAGGGAAAAAAGGATATATACAATTATTTAAATTCAAATCAAGTGTACTTTTTTTAAAACATTTTTATTCTTTTTTGTGATTAAAACCAAAGAATGCATAATTTTTAGTGATAATATACTAAAGTGATGCACAACATATAAAGAAATTATGCATTTGACAGATATTTTTCATTTTCAAGTTTTAATTAAAAACCCCGATGGATTTAGAATAAATTAAAATTTAGAACGAATGTTTTTTTGGCTTGGATTAAATTGGTCTTCAACTAATAATTTTATTCAATAGTCAATATTTTCAAAGCTACACATATATAGATGGGTAGTATCCGTTTCTTGTAATTTTAATCTACCTGTTAATATTAAATTTTGATGAATATGCTCATGAAAAGAATATAGCATATGAAGATAACCAGAGATATTTAAATTCCCCATGACTATTTGAATCTTGACTTCCTATTAAAGTAATTAGAGATCAGAGATATCTATCTCTGTCAAAATAAACTTTTTTTTGGAGATTAAAATAATTTATTCTCCATCTACGTCAAACAATTGCAGATTTAATGATATTTT